ACGTACAAAACGACCTTTTGTAATTTATTGCAATGGAAGTAATTTTGTAGGAAAAGATAGTGCTTTAAATAATATTAACTGGAAAGAAACTGAGGTTTACAGTTTTGCAAAGAAGATCCGCTATGGTAAGGCGGATGGTGGGAGAGAATAATAGGTGTTAACATAATAGAGAATGATAGGCTTAAACAACTGCTGAGAAAAGTTCTTGAAAAAGCGTTGCTGCTAGATTTCGAAGAACTACAAATAATTCTCTGAAACTGTGAAGTAATCATTAACTCTCGACCTTTAACTTACATTTCCGAAGATCCAGTTGCCTTGACTCCTAATATGTTCCCGAATGATGTTGGAGTACCTGATCTAGATTTGATAGAAGCGCAAGATCTCAATGAACGGTTAAAGTACAGACTAAGACTGAGAGAAGAGTTACAGTGAAGATTTCTTAAGGAATACTTAGGCCAGCTGAAGATGGAGGCCAATAAACGATCGTCGAAACATATAAATGCTAGATTTCGAAGAACTACAAATAATTCTCTGAAACTGTGAAGTAATCATTAACTCTCGACCTTTAACTTACATTTCCGAAGATCCAGTTGCCTTGACTCCTAATATGTTCCCGAATGATGTTGGAGTACCTGATCTAGATTTGATAGAAGCGCAAGATCTCAATAAACGGTTAAAGTACAGACTAAGACTGAGAGAAGAGTTACAGTGAAGATTTCTTAAGGAATACTTAGGCCAGCTGAAGATGGAGGCCAATAAATGATCGTCGAAATATATAAATGCTAGATTTCGAAGAACTACAAATAATTCTCTGAAACTGTGAAGTAATCATTAACTCTCGACCTTTAACTTACATTTCCGAAGATCCAGTTGCCTTGACTCCTAATATGTTCCCGAATGATGTTGGAGTACCTGATCTAGATTTGATAGAAGCGCAAGATCTCAATAAACGGTTAAAGTACAGACTAAGACTGAGAGAAGAGTTACAGTGAAGATTGCTTAAGGAATACTTAGGCCAGCTGAAGATGGAGGCCAATAAATGATCGTCGAAATATATAAATGTTGATGACATAGTATTTATCAAAAATGATAATAAAAACCGTTTAGATGGGCCACTTACGAAAGTGCTAGAACTCATCTCAGGTCACAATGGTAAAGTGAGAATAGTAAGAGACAAGACAATATCGGGTATTTTGTTACGACAAATTCAAATAATCTATTGGCTGGAAATAGTTGGACATCCAGATGCTGTTGTGTAACAGAAGACGTAACACAGTCCAAAAGTGATGAGAGTCAGAAGGCAACAGGAAAGGTAAAGGAATTTTGTGAGACTCTACCGAAACGATGTGTATGTGGTCGTAAGATTAAAACTCCTAAGAGAATAAGTAATGTAATTTTAGTAGTTTTAAATTCATATTTTATTTTATTTTTTATTTTTAAGGAAATACAGACTTTAATGTTAAAATTTATGTTAAGTTGACTTCATTGAATAAAGTAAACTTAAGGTGAGAGAATGTTGGCTATTGACGAGCCGCATTTTTTGATGCCAATACTTAGCTTCAGCGAATTGACAACAACGTGTTTTTTTTTTTTTTCTCTCGTAAGATAGCAGTATGTCAAACAGTAACGAACCTGAATTTCTGTAAAAATAAATTATGTTTTCATTACTCTTAATGAAGAATTTTTATTTTTGTTGCTGCATTACCTGGCTCGGTAGAGTCTGTTTTACCGAAAGTAAATGATCGTAGTTTTTCCAACTATAGCGCAAACTGGCTCCGATGGAGACATATCATTTCAGCTTCCTCCTCCTAATAATAACTAATTTCTCAAGCTGTCTTCGGATACATACTAGTTCCATTTAATGTATCAAAAGTATTTTGAAAAACAACGTAATTCTTTATTTTTTTTCCCCCCGTTTGCTTGTATTTACTGCTCTAGTTTCAGAATACTTGTTCGTAATAGAATTTTGTTATACAATTTCGTAAATTAAATATCTCGACAGTATATTTTTTATATAAATACCAACTGTAAATAATTATGCTCTCTTTAACCAGTAATTAACAAGAAATGATTATTTGCTATATCTTCCTATTTTTTTATTACTTGTCTTATTTTCAACTTTTGATGAAGTTTTGTTACATGTATAACATTTGCTGCCGTCTCGATTTCAGTGGAATTCTTTAATCAAGATCAGGTATTATACGAAGAAGATTGTTAAAGAAAAGATACCGTATTAAACAGTTTTTGACAACATGCATCAATTAAAGAATTACTTTAAAAGCTTACATAAAGTTAGGTAGGTTATCTGAGTATGACAAAGGCACGAGGGATACCTGCCTAAGGGAGGGGATGCCTTCGTGGATAACTTTCTGAGGAAAACTGGCTCGTGTTTACATTACATATGGGAAAGAAACATCTGTGCAACCAGCCCGCTCGCCTTGGTTTGGTTCCAAACCAGGTCGTACTACCAATACAGAACGGTTTCAACAATTCGGCCACTAGTGGAGTCGAAAACATTCAAAAAATAATTTATTTTATTTTCTTACTATCATTCCTTAATTTTGAATTATATAAATATAAGCATGTGCTTACAAATATATTTTAATTCTTATTTACATATATGTTATAAAACAAAATATATAAATGACTGTAAGACTTATGGGAAAGTATTCAACTATAAATAAAGTGAGTCCAACAAAATTCAGAAAAATAGAAGAAAAAATATCAAACAAACGGAAAACATCTTGAAATTCAAATGATCGAGAATCTTTTCGGGAAGTGAAATCTTCCCTATCTAAGATACTTTTGAAAACTTCCGATCAGAATTTGCACTTTTAGGATAGAATAAAAGGAAACACATCAACAAATTACAAAGACAATAAATTCTTTCATGGAACACAAAATTATAACATTAGAATTCAAAAATTTCCATTGACATACCTCAGAATTGTATTATCAAAAACAGTACTTTTCATATTTACTTCAAAAATAGAAATTTAACGTTAAAAATGTAGTCAACACGACAGAATCAGGTAAAGAAAGAACGGGGAAAATGTATCCATAATGGGAAAGAGAAATGCTTTCACTGATAAATACATTTATTTGTGCAAGCATTATCCTTACAAATACAGAAGGAGGGAATTTCTCTTTCAAAAAGTCTTAAAAATCTCTTCTGGGAGAAATTGATAGGACAGTCACTTAAAAATTCTCCTCGTACATAAACTTCAAAAATTCCAAATACATTACTTTTTTCCCTCTTTAATTCATTCAACAACTTGATTCATTTGTTTTTCACAAAGCCATCCAATAGCAATAAATAATCTTTTAAGTACCTTAAATATTCTGGTCTATGTAGAATAATCTCGCCTATTATGCTTCTGTATGATGCCGAAAATAAGTCTTTTAAAGGCACAATAAAAATTTTATTACTTTCGCAATAGCTTTTTAACAGGCAATCCGGAAATTTGGAAGATAGCAATCTAAATGCTATGCTGTTACATGCCCTCACAGCATATATTGTGTCTTGTACAAAATATATTCGTGCCCTGGCGAAAGATAAATCTTTACGTAGTTAAATTTTAAGCTCAAATAAAGAAGAAAACTGACAGAAATGCCGCCAGGTTTTAGGATGGTATGATAAACATAGACTCATAGACAAAAAAATACGTTGAGCCGTTCTTACAATTACACCGTTGTTACTTGTATGGGTGCACAGGCTACATACAGTTCGCTGCGAAGCAGTTAAATTTGAAGTTCTTGATAAATATAAAATCTTAGTGTTAACGCATCAATTATCAGGAACTAAGACTAATACATTTTTGTCTAATATATAAGTTCATTTATAAAATACAAAGTTTCATTTATTTCAGTTTATTTATTGTTATAAATTATTATTTACAGTTATTATTAATTCAACATATTTATAAGCAAAATCTACTGTTTCGTCATTATGCTTTTTCGCTTGAAAATAATTGAACAATTGAAAAAGCTGCCCCTTTTTATTAATAAACAGTTAAACGAAGTCCAGTTGCCAAAAATAACTCAGCGAAGAATGAATTTACTTGTTGCGTCTTACTAATACAACAGTCAAACTGCATGAATTATTTTTATCACTTTGTGATGTACCCGATGTAAAAGTCAACGTGATGTCTCATCGAATTTTTTTACCGTTTCAAAACGATAACTTAGATAAAACTGGTACTCGTGGCGCCATCTGGGTTCAAATGAGGTGCTTAAAGAATAATTCGTTATGTTAATTTTTTCTGTTATACTTTACTTTAGCAATATTTTAAAAAGGCAAACTTCATATGTTAAGATTCCATTATCATCGAAACTTATATAACTAGATAAAGATTGAACAAACTAGCTGTAAATTTTATGTTCATTGATTTTTCTCTGTATATCTCGTATTAAATTTTGAGAATGAAAACTTACCTTTTAACGTGAAGCCCCAGCCCGTTTATTCCGGCTGATGTGTGATTAATTTTTCATGCATAAATTAGTATATGCGTAATTAATCAACTATCAGAATTTGATTAAAACAAATATAATAGAAAATATTAGAATACAGGGTGGCAAACATGGAAACCAAGCGCAAAAGGCAAAATTTTCTAAGATGAAAAACTTCCTAATTATTTTTTTAGCTACAGAACTTTTAATAAAAAAACTGAAACTTTGGCTTCGTGTACATACATGAATTAACTGCGCAAATGGGTGCGTATTCTGCTTCTTTCTTTAAGTCGTGATAACAAAAACCTTTGACTTATCAATGCAAGATTTTAAAATGTTTAAAATATTGCAAAGCATTTTCTTGTTCTAAATATATTTTAGAATGTCTACTGTATTGCATGATAGAGTAATATTGAATCGAAAATACTAAAAGAGATAGAAACTTCGAGGAATTTCGTTGTAAAGGGTAAGTTTATATTTTTGCTGCAGTTTCGTATTTCAAAAGTATATTAATTTCCTTAAAGAATGCAAGAATAAGATTGAGAACCTACCCCGAATAATTGCCGATAGCGTAAGCGACCGTGATGGGTAGCAGAATTCAGTAAACGCCCCAAATTCATCATATTCTGAGAGCGAAGGCTGATGAACGGTTAGTTTAACTAAATGAGCGAAGTGCTCGAAATAGCTCTTATTATCGGCAACCTCCGTCAAAGCTATGGAAGACGCTTGCAATCTTCATGAGGGACTCTCTCCACATTACATTCAAGTAGTGATGCTATGTTTTTGTATTTGACGTTAGCAAAAAACGATGAGCGAAATGAAGATGATGCTCTCTTCATGCTTCTCCTGAAGAATATAAGCAATATATACAGTTTGATAGCATGAAGTTAGTCACTGAATTAAAGTCATCGTACTCATATTACAATTAATATTCCAAAGTTTTCGAAAAGTTCAGTACCTCTGCGTCAGATTAAACTAAAAATACTTGCATTTGCGTAATGAATCCCAACTTCGTCAATTCTCCGTCTTTTTTTAAAACTCTTGTTTTCTTTAAAATAAACTTAATCCATTTCTTATTTGTCTACTGTCTGCAAAAAGACAAACAAACAAAAAAATTACCTTCGTTCGTCACATTCATTTTCTTTCACAGCTTATACATAATTCAGTTCTTCAAATTTTACTCAGGTGAGACAGCACTGGAATGTAGCAGGTCTGAATGCACATAGAATGACCATTCGATGCCAAAGAATATGGATCATTACACTGAGGATGAAGAATTTGTGCGGTATAATAATTAACGAATAAAGTGTAAAAATTAGCCCATATAAATTATAAAATTCAATGCTGACTGTAATGCTAGGCATATTTTTGTTAATGGTTGGCACCAGCCATTTTAATGCTTTCGCCACTACTAGTGGTCAGACGTGGTGATCATTTCATCATGGAGACACAGTGTTACCTCCTAGGAAGGGGGCTTTGAACCCAGGCCCTTCGTATTGCAATCAGTTCCCTTAACCACTATACCTTTTGAGTGCAATGCTATGCGTCTTTATCAGTAGTTTATTGTTAGTTCTGCGATCACTTGCAGAAGTTTTAATGCAACCAACAGTTTTTTTTTTTTTTTTTTTTTTTTTTTTTTTTTTTTTTAGGGCGAAGCACTAGCCATTAAGCTTATCAGCAGAAAGCTTTTTTTTTTTTTTATTTTTATTTTTATTTTATTTATTTTTTTTTTTTTTTTTATATATAACCAACAGAGGCAGAAGTCATTGATCGAAAGAAGTGATGGGGCTCGGAAGAGATTTCTTGATTTCTTTACACATCTTTCACGCATGAAATAAAGGTCAAATAATTCACAGGGCTATTATGGAGAAGAATTTTCGGAAGCTTCTGAAAGGTTTTAGGCGAAGATTATTGCTCGCACTATTTCTTCCCTCAGACAGAGAAGTTACCGAAATTTTCCTCTTTAAAAGCATCATAAAATAATACGTCTTTCACTCCCTTCTCGGTGGAGGCCGGAGCACGCAAGTGTTAATGGTAACAGCAACAATATTTTGACAAAATTAAATTAACTTCCATCAAAATTGCAATCAGCATTTAATTTTACGTATTATTTGTGCTATTTGGGCTAATTCTTATGTAGCTTTCATTATTTGAGAATTATAAGAGCTCTTCAAATAAAAGGTACAGACTAACATAGTTACATTAAACGGTGTGTAAACACCGAATATCATGGTTTATTAAGTGATATAGCATTCTGAAAGTAAAAACATGTTGCAGTAAGACTTAAAATGGCAGTTTTGGATTACTGGGTTTTTGATTATGGAAAGCATCCAGGCTAAGAGCGATCCCATTATGGTGGACTTTCTAATAAAAGCTGGCTAATATTCTTATCACACATGCAAGAAAGTAGAAAAACCCCTTGCAGCCAGCCCGCTGGCAGGAAACCCAACGCCAAGTAATTACCAATGTTCAGAGGTCTTATCCTTTTGACTACTGGTAAGTCTATAGTTGTAGGGTATAGCTATTACCTCAGAATTGGAATCCAATATTATGTCCACAATTTTAAAATCTATAACTATTTTATGACAAAAGTATTTAAGGCGAATTCATGAAATTTTCTCTTTCTGATTTCAGCTTATAAAAGAATGTTATTTTGCTTTATTTAGCCCCGTGATTTCAAAGAATTTCTGCCTAAAGTCAGGACGTCTCTGTGAAAGTTCAAAGGCAAAAAAGGAAAAGGAGGTTCAAAGGAAAAAGTTCAAAGGAAAATGCTAAAGCGTTTCTTCTGTGGGAAAGAGGAAGTTTATTCTTTCGAGATAATAGCCTCTATTTCTAGCAAAGGGTTTATAAATCAAGCTCTACATTGAATGCTTGCTTTAGACAATGTATGTATCGGAAATTCTAAAGATATGCTCTTTTAAATACTTCATGCTATTGCTGTTGAACTGAATTTTAGCGTTTAAGTGCCAAGAACATTATATTTAATAAATAAGGGTAACACACAAAACGTTAAATAAACGCCCCTTTCAATGAGAAATTTGTGTTTGTAATTCGTCTGGTATCTTATTGGCTCTAAAGAATACCACCAAGAGTTGGCATAATCGAGAGGGGAAATAAGAGAGAAAGAAAGTATGAAAAAAAGAAGAAAAAAAAAGGGAGGGACAAAGAACTAACTGCAATCAAATAATTCTTTGTGTAAGTTGAAATTAATCTAGTTCTCCATTTAAAGTTTCTAAAGAAATAATTCTACTAACTAAATCTTAATAACGCAAACGAAATTTATAATAACTTTAAAACGTTATAATTGCAACGTAATTTTATACGATTAATAAGGTCATTTTTACCAATACTAAATATATACCTATAATGTAGTAATATACTTTTATGTGGTTAATTTTGTCGTGCATATGTGTGCGCAATAGGTTTCATATCAGGCGAAAGTGATGATCAATCTACATGAAAACACTGATGCTTCCCGTGTATATACCGGTAAGTTACGTTATTTGAAAATAGCAAAGCCTCTAGGATTAGCTGCATGAGGAGGCATCTCTTTGTAGAAGACTTTCAGATAAAAAAATGGCTCATATTCACGTTTACACAGGGAGAAAACCACGAAAATATTCACGTTACACAGGGGGAAAACCAACCTCCAACCAGCCCGTTTCCTTGGGCTGGAACACAAACCACATCGAACTACAGGGTGGAGCAGCGTTCATAGTAGGATATTAAAAACACACCATAAGGCAGTAACTGTAATTTATTTATTACCTCTTATGTCAATTAATAGTTAAAGGTGTGTCATTTACTAATGTGTAAGTAATTGTCCATTACGTGGATTACTCTTTGAATATGATGAATGTCAAATGAGCCCCCCTACACAACACATTCATTCATAGGTGGCGTTGGAAGCTTGCCATAACTCGGCGTAATGTATTCCCTGGGACACTGCCGACGACAGTTCTAATGCGATCCTTCAACTCAGGAGTGGTGGCACAACGTGTTCGCGAAACTTCTTGCTTCAGGTGGCCCCCAAAGGAAAACGTCTGCACATGAAAGATCAGCGGGCGGCCAGGAAATGTCACCAAAGCGGAAAATTACTCTACCTGGAAATGTCTGTCGCAAGAAATCCATGCAAATTCTGGCTGTATGCGAGGTCGCTCCGTCTTGTTGAAACCATAATTTTCCACGGCTTCTGGTGTCCGCACAGTTCTTTCACTTCTTCCCGGTTTGCCATTGTAAGCAGGACCTGTTGTTCGAAACGCACTTACCCACCTCACAAAGGTCCGTCCATCTGGAACTTTCCCATGATGTCCCAAGTTGAAATGTTGCCGAAATAGACGCTGGGTAACAATAACAGAGTAGTTATTCTTGAAATAACTTTCAACAGCAAATGCACGATGCTGTGCACTCCACCGATCCATATCACTGTCACACTTGAAATGGCAGCTCATTAGCACACGAATGCGGCACGAGCTGGCGCGCATTCATATAGTACGTCATTGTAGTACTACGCAAGTCAAATTACGCTATGAATGCTGCCGCACCCTGTACTAGTATTCAACGGTCGTAACCACTCGGCCACTAGTGAGGCACGATGGCAACACAAACTTTTTTTTGAAGAACGGAATCCGCGCACGTGGAAACAATCTTTAAAATGACAAAACTGAGCAGTATTTTGTTTACTAATTTAAAAAAGGTGCTTAAATTAGGCAAGAAGAATCCGTTGAAATCTGATTCAATTATATGATGTCTTAAACCGGCAAGAACCATTGGAATGTGTTTTTGCGCTCTTTATAGACCTCTCTGCAATATCCTTGTCCCTCTCTTATTGTCGGAAGAAACTACAAGTGGTGATAGTTTAAAAATGGGAAACTGGCTTTATCACACAACTTTATTTGTCGATTGATTCAAACATGCCCGTCAAATCTTGATTACGTAGATGAATTTCTCTTCTGAGCATTCAACAGTTTTCTTTTACAGAAATATCATGGTTTTCCTCGGTCAAAATGACACGTTTCATAAGAGATCTGTATCAAAATCTTTTAAGTATTTTTTTCAATTCGTGTTATTTTATTACTGCTTTAGAGAATTTTTAATGTTGTTTTAGAATTTTTGTAAGGTGAATACCGCCATCTATTTAAACTGCGGTTCTTCTTTGGAAGAATTTTTGATGTCTGATATTATTTTTCAATCCATATTTAAAAAAAAAATGAAAAATACAGTTAACCATGTGTTCAGGTTTTGCATATAATTTGGGGATGTTAATTATGGCAGAAGTTTTTGTGAGTGATAAAATGAATCCTTGAAACTAAAAGTTAGATAACTTTCATATAACAACTGTAGGGCACAGCTTTAATATTCACTAGCATTTACTAGCACTTCATAATTACAGACGTAGACAGATATAGATCAAGACAGCTCTAAATCTAATCATAAGGATTTGCATTTAATTTTCTATTTACAGGATGTAGAACTTAACTATATAATTAGCCTTAATTATACGATTGAATTAAAAGTTCTTGCTATTATATACAACTTGATTTATGCATTTATATTTAAATTCTCAAGTTTTAAGTATTTGATTAGAAGATAAACCGGCCACTGTAGAGTTTAAAATGAGGTAAGAAAGCAAGTTTCGATTGGCATAG